TGTAATTTTTTGACCAGGACTATATCTCCCCGCAACCCCTAATAGTAAAGACAAGGAAATAGTATTAAAGATAAGTACATAGTAAAGATAAGGGATCTGAGACTCTGTGAAGTGTCTTTTCTCACTCGTGGTGAGGAGCTGAGCCATAGGAGGAAATGTGGGTTGTTTGCTGTGGTAATGAGTGATTCCTTAAAATTATTAGTTAAGTGGAGATCAAAATCACCTGGAAGACTGTGAACTTTGTTTTAAAAATGTCTAATTTTGATATTAAGTCAAAGTACATATAATTCAGGCATTTTCTATACATGTCAGCCAAATCAACTTCTTAAGGATTGTTTGCTGTTGTTAGTAGACCTGGTGGTCTTTAAGCTGATCCATCGTTAAACATTAGACTGAAAAGGGGCTTTATAACACCCCTAATTAAATGTGCATGTGCCGGGCTATAAAGATGAAGGAATGCGGGGACCAGAATGGTTATGTGACTTGGCCAAGATCAAACCTGGTAAGCCATTTCAGTTGTAAGGATGGTCAAACCAGTTGAGAAATGTTAAAGAATTGCTGGCTGCTTTGGCAGGGTTGAACCTCGTATGAACTTGGGGAGACCTGATGGTGGGATCAGAGGGCAGAAGGCCCACCCCCGATGCCAGCAGTTTTCAACCTTTTTCATCTTGTGGCACATGCAAACTAATTGCTAAAATTCTGTGGCACACCAAAAAGAAAAAGTGACTTTTTGCCAGTCTTACAAAAAAAAAAATAAGTATAATTTTGATTCATTCACATTGTTGTTGTGTTGGTTGTTGTCACTTCTTTAATTTGACAACCTAAGGGAGAAGAGGTCAGTGTCCCCGACTAAATGTTCAGGTACTGCATGTTTTAAAATTCTTGCAGCACACCAGTTGAAAATTGCTCTTCTAGGCCATGTTGTTTTCAATTTTTCTTAGTCTCGGTTTTCTTATTCACAAAATGGACATAAAAATATATGTCTACTTCATCAAATGGAAGGATATGTTAGACAATGTATAAAACGAATTAAGAGGCTTTTATAATTGCTGGGATTTTGCATGAATTGAGAATTGAACTTGCTCTAAGCTAAACCCCACTTTCTGTGGGAGCTGAGTATCCATTTTATCCACACGAGATAGGTCAGAGGTAGAAAATGAATGATATTTGAACTGGTGGTTAGAATCTCTCTTTCAGGGATTTTTTGCGATGGTCATAAATATGGTGGTTTGACCCTTTGAGTCACACAATGTTCTCCCGTGACTTGTAACTGCCTCAGTGCTGGTTCCCTAAATTTTTTCTTTTAAATGCTTTAGTTATGTGTAATGTTGTCATTTATGCTCCTGATTTTCTGAAATTCTCCTTGGTAAAATACTAGTCACAGGAGATATCTGATAACCAAGAAGTCTTCCCAGGTCATTCCAGTGAGTTCCTAATGGTTATTTTTTGAAGGCAGGAAGTCACAAATTGCCAAGAATAAAAGAACTTGAAAGCACAGAGGTGTTTTCTGGTCTTCCAGGGACTGATTATATTTCTGAGTGGACGACCTGATTTGATTGAAATAACCTGCTGTGCATTTCTTACATTCATGACGTAGGTAACTTGATTATACATCCTGATTAGTAGCGGAAATAATTGATCTGATTAGCCTAAATATTTTGTAAAACTCTGATTTAGAAACGTATTTTACTTCTATAAATTTTATTTGTACCTAAGTTGTTGGTCTTGGCTCTGAGATTACTATTTTAAGGCTATTGTAAGTAGCTTATGTCACAGGTAGTAACTACTCTGGGAGTTTTAAAAATATATATAAAATATGATATTAATTTTTATTTCCAAATTATGACATCTAAGAAATAGTTGAGAAGGGAACATTACATGGTGCATTCATTTTATTGCAGATGTGGGCTGGTGCCTGTATTTTGTGTACGCTAGTCACTTGGACTCTATTTCGTGAGGGACTGAGAATCTAGGAGCACAGAATATTTCCCAGGAAACAACTGTCTCTGGAAATCTTCTTCGTGGTCAGATGCTGCCTATGCCTCCACAGACTTGTCCATTTCTCTCCCATAACCATGGGTACTCAGGACTGTTCCAGTCTTCTTGGGTCCCTATCTTTTCTGGATTCCTATAAGACTTAGAAGATTATATGCAATGATGGGGAAAACTGTATGATTATATTTGTTCTTGTCTCTGATTATTTGTGAATGTGCCCAGGTTCCCCTCATTCCCCTTTATGTACTTCCATATTTCCCAAAGTCTAGCACAGTATTGGGCACATAGTAAGCACTCAATAAACATATCATTGATCAACACTAACCAGGAAACTTCTCAAGTTCTGGGATTCTGTTTCAAATTATCTACATGGTACCTCATATAAGGCCACATGTTGATAGGTGCTTATTGACGGATTTGATTGCAACTATAACCAGAATACCCATTCAGTTCTTTAACTCCTATGATGATGCGAATTTGGGCCCCCAGTCTTTTTCCTCATTTAACTCATCTGGCCAAAACAGTTTTAAATGTGATGCTTCTAATTGGGTTTGCCTGGGCTATGACTGAAAGTTTCATTAGAGAAATTTCTTAGTTCTTCAAGTCATCAGAAGTAGAAAAGATTAGGAAACTTTTCAATTCAGTCCTTCTAGTCACATGATGAGGAATTACCTCCATTGTAGGTTAAGTGACTTGTCCAAGATTATTCATTCACCCATTTAATGTTACATTTTGAGTGTCCATTTTATTCCAGATGAGGCAGTGAGTTCAGAGGAGAGCCTCTTACTTCCAAGCTCCCCAGTCTTAGTCCCTGTTCCAATCCCAACCTCAATTTGTCTACCATTAAGTATTTATCACTTGGTGCAGTGACATCTTTCCCTCCCCTCCCCTTTCCTAAACACAACATTGGTGAAATCATAGGTCTCACATTTCTGTCGGGCCCTACTAAGGATGTCTGTTTCCAACTTTTTCATAATTACAGCACTCTATGGCAAGGAGATTTCATAACAAAAAAAAAAAAGTAGGACAAGACTATTTTATTAAAAACCTTGCTGAGGAGTTTTTGAAAATTCACAATATTTGCGATAAGTGAAAAGCTCTCGGCATATTGTGGAAGCGATGGGATTTGGGAGTGCGTGTCTCGGAGGAGCGGGATCCCTGCGTTTGGCCGAGGGCGTGATGGCGTCATGGCTCTGCTGTTGGAAGGCGTCCGGGATCGGGCTAGGAAGGCGGTTCTCCACGGCAGCTCTCATCTTAAATAAGTAGCTCCAATTTTTGGTGCCTGAAGGAGACCAAAATTAGTAGCTGCCGTTGAGTCCAGGGTATAAAATTATATGCTTGGACATGTAAAACTAAGTTATAAAACTTTGTGTGTGTATGTGATGATGGCGACTGGACTAGCGATTGCGGCGGATACACGAAAGATCGTGGGCAGAGACTTCCCTGCCATTTAGGAGCCTGGTTCAGTTTTCAGGCCCCCAAATGCCTTCAGAAGCTACGGGCGAGGAATTGGGGAGGGTGCCGAGAAATGGCACTTCGCTCCCTGTGGGCTTTGGCAAAGCTGTGGGAGATTCTTGCCAGAAATGCTGCCTGGCCTTTAGAGAGGAACCCGTCAGGGCTGGAAGGAAAGAAAATCAAAGGTATCGTGGGCTGCCTTGTCCCCAGGCCTAGAATCCTGCTGCAGGTAAGTGAGCGTGGCAGCAAGGTGGCCTGGCATTCCATGCGATCCTTCCCCCTCCCTGCTGGTGTCGAGGATGATGCCCAACAGGTCATGCCCTTTGACAGCATTGAAAAGTCAGGTGTGAGTGTAAGACACCACTGTTTCCAGCCTTTATTTGTGAATGTGCTGGTTTCCAGGGGAGGCAACCAGATGTTAATGGTTGCTGAGAGAAACAAGGTCTTAGGCTTGGCTTAAAGTGTCATGTGACCTAAGAAAATTGTCCTAGCTAATCCGGGTTTAGAAAATCTTAAGAGATATAATTCTTGGCACTGGGCCCCTGAAAATAAAAAAGTTTAAAAATTATAGGAAGTTCTCTGGTAAACCTGATGCTAGCCTTCTCCATCAGTCTGCGTGCCTCCCCTCCCCCCCGCCGCCAGTACAGAAGACACAGGAGGAAAGGACCATCTGGCCCAGCGCGCCAGCTTTTTATTTGGTTGCTCTCAATCCTACCTTCCTGTTTGGATCACCCCTCCCCTCTGCCCATACTTCAGAAACCAATCAAGGTGTCTCCTGAACTCATTTATTCCCTTTGTTTCAACCGCCTTCTTGGGTAACTTTTTCCATATGCTTACATCCTTGCCTCACAACGGATTTTTTTTTCCATCCAAAATGGCCTGATTGAACTCTTAGGAAAAGCCATTTACTCAAATATATAACAAAGTGCTTCTAAAGATCCCAAACAACGTTTCATTACTTTTGATGATCACGATATATGTACATGGAGGGAAAATTGCTGTGTTTAAAAGCAACTGACTGATGGGCAGCGATGCTGAGTAGGATGGAATTCAAGAACACGTCGTTGTTAGCATCAAATCTGCTCCGGTCCCTGCCCCCACCCAACTGAAATAGTCTAATCTAGATTTGGAGCCAGAGGCTGTTGTTGTTGTTGTTGTTGTTACTATTACTAAAGTGTGGCCTTTATTTATTTTGTTGCCCCAGTTTGGCTTTGAGCCCTTCAACATGGTGACATTAGTACTCTTTATATTGCCTGTTGTGGACCAATTTTCTTCAGCTGTTGCTAAAACTTACTAAAATGCCAGATGTCACGTTGGAAACACGAAACCTGAAAGAAGGTCATAAATCACAAAAACAAACCATAAAAAAAAATAATAAAATACCCTGAGTGCTGTGCTCTGGAGCTTCCCAGCTTTCAGTCCCCTTTTGTTCACCCCTCTCCCACCATATCCCACCCCTCCCTGTGCCCCCTGTACTTTAGAGTTGGGGTGTTGCAGGGTGGGGGGTGCCCAGCAGTTTCTCACCTGAGGCTCAATGGTTTGTTTTGCAGATTCTGAGCAGAGCACTGGTTCAGACTCGGAGGTGCTCACTGAGCGGACCTCCTGCCCCTTTGACACTCACGCTGACCTGGGCCCTGGGGCTGCGGGCCCTGTGCCTGCTGCCATGTCTTCCATGGAGGAGATTCAGGTGGAGCTGCAGTGTGCTGACCTCTGGAAGAGGTTCCATGACATTGGAACTGAGATGATCATCACCAAAGCAGGCAGGTAAGGACAAGTTCCTTGGAATGGCCACCATCAAAGAACAGAGGACAAACTAGGAACTGTTACACTTCTTCTTTCCACTTATTTGTGGTAGGTGGTGTCAGTGAAGCCAAAGACATGTGCACTCCCATTTTTTACATCTGGACAGCTTGGCAAAGGGATCTTGTATTTTTTTGTGATTTTGTCACTTTTTTTCTCCAAGGGCTACCAGAATCTAAATCGCTTCCACCCTCGCAAACATTTTCTGCCTGCAAATGCATTTCAGTTAACACTGGAGGTCCGTGGTATGTAACAGTCAAACCAATTTCCACAGCAAGTGTTGCTTGATCATCCAAACATATTCAACATGAAAAGTTTGCTCCTAAGCAGCAGCTTGCATCTTCTAAGGCATTTAAAGCAGCCAGATGTTTTTGTAAGAATTTTGTTTTTGATTAGAATTGGTTTATCTTCTGAACCTCGCTTGTTGATCCATTGTTTTTTTATTGTGGGCTTGGAATTATTACAAAACTTTAATGGAAACCTGGTGGAATCTCTTGCAAAACTATTTATGTAGGATAATAAAAGTTTTAAAAACACAGTTTCTCTTGAAATAAACTTTTCATTAAGCTACTCTTTCATTGGTATCTTTTAATTTTCTTGAAAGACACAGTTTTGTTAGGTATCTATTTGTGTTGGATACTCAACATACACTACATTATTTAAAATTCACAGGAATCCTTTGAGGTAGGATATGATCATTCCATGCACAGATGAGGATGTGAAGGCCGAAAGAAGCTAATTAACTTGACTAAGGCCACATGGGCAATAAAGGGCAGCTCCAGCATTCTACACAACTCTGACTGGTTCTGCAACTATGGTCTCAACTACTTATAACTCTTCACTGTTAAGAAACAGTTGTAGTCTTTGCCCCTTGGATTCAAAATAAAAATGATTTAAATAAAGACAAATTGGGGCTATTCCTCTTAAATCTAAAGGGATAGTTCATTGAAATGAAAACAGTAAGGCTGCTTTCATGTTTTCCAAGCCAATCTGCATAGCCTCATGTCGTGGAGACCAGAAAGGCCCACCTCAGTGATCATAAGCTGTCTTCATGAACATGGATGTTTAAAGTCAAAGGATATTTTGATTAGGTCCAGTACACATGAATGAATATAGAGAAACCTCCCAATATATTAAGACACCATAAAAACATGAGGTTAAAATGAATCTGAAGTCTTACTCATTTTCTTTCTCTTCTGGCACCCTCTTCTTTCTCTAAGTTTTAGCAGTGAATAAAACTATTAAAGGGTTTCTTAGGAGGAGCACCTGTGAAGGAGCATTACTTTCGGTACCATCTCCTTTTTGTTTTTTGTTTTTTAATTAATTAGTTAATTTATTTTTTAAATACATTTGTCTCTGCCTCCCCCCCACCACTTTCCCTTGTCCCCTCCCTCTTTCTCTCCCTCAGCTCTTCCCCTTTGGTTTTGTCCATGAGTTCTTGCTATATGTTCCTTGACTTTCCCCTTCCCTTCCCTTTCCCTGCCCACCCCCCTCCTTCCCTCTTGTCTCTGTTGATTATTTCTTTTCCTTTCAGTGTTGCTGGTCATATTTTCCTTGCATCTTTGTATTGTTGGTTAGGTTCCGCTTATAGGTGAGATCATATGGTATTTGTCTTTCGCCCCCTGGCTTATTTCGCTTAACATAATGCTCTCTAGTTCCATCCATGCTGTCGCGAAGTTTAGTAGTTCTTTTTTTCTTTCTGCTGCGTAGTATTCCATTGTGTATATGTACCATAATTTTTTGATCCAATCATCTACTGATGGGCATTTAGGTTGCTTCCAACACTTGGCTATTGTAAATTGTGCTGCTATGAACATTGGGGTGCATAGGTTCTTTTGTATTGGCGTTTTGGTGTTCTTAGGGTATAGTCCCAGCAGGGGAATCACTGGATTGAAAGGCAGTTCCATTTTCAGCTTTTTGAGGAAATTCCACGCTGCTTTCCACAGTGGCTGCACCAGTCTGCATTTCCACCAACAGTGGACTAGGGTTCCCTTTTCTCCACAGCCTCGCCAGCACCTGTTGTTTGTTGATCTGTTTATGATGGCCGTTCTGACCGGTGTGAGGTGCGGTACCATCTCCTTTTTGTTGCTTGCGTTTCAGTCTACTACAGTTCCACATGTTATGGCTTGGAAGGAAATAGAACAATTCAAGGAAAAAAATATTTATTCTTTTTCTTAGGTTTTTTGGCAGGAGGCTTGGTTTGGAGAGAAGGGGAATATTACTTTTTTTTTTTCGTGTATGGTTTTCCAGTTTTTATTTTGGTTTTCACTTGCTACTATTGAGTTTGTGTAGTCCAGTCAGTTTTGTTCTTGATATCCTACTCTTGTTTCCTGCACTTCAGAGAATTCAGTTCACTTGAGCACCTCTTGACAATTCTCCCACGACCTCATTTTGTGATTCCTTCTGTAGTTTTCTTTCCCATATCTCTACCTTCACAGATTTACTTTGATACCTGAATGTATCAAGATATTCTCAGCCCAGACATACAGCTTGTTCTTTAGTCATATCCCTTTATTTAGGTTTAGAAATTACATTTTTCTGCTTTTGTATTGGATTGCCTCAGGTGTTGCTGTTGCTACATGAAACTTTGCTCAAGTCATTCTGGAACAACTCAGAAACATACAAACAAGGCTTTCTCTTCTGTGAACTTTGTTCACCCTCTCCTCCAGTACCCCAGTTGATTTCTTCCTTTTCACTTTCTTTTTCTTCCTATGCAGTGTCTTTATCAATTTTAATTCTAATTTCCATTTTCTTAGTTAATGCTAGTTATGTATGATTTTCTGTTCTTTTCCTGCTCAGGAGAGCTTAGTCACTATCTACTTCTCACACCTCAAACTGTAATCCTGTTGATTCAGAACCACTGCTGTCTACAAAACCCTCAATTTGACTGCACCAACATAATCTGCGTAATCAGCACCATGGACAGAGGTGCTTATACGGATTAATGGGTTTGGAAGATAAAAGAATTGGCCTAAATTTAGTCAGCAAAATAAAACCAAACACATCCCATGTTGTAAATATGGAAGATTAATTTTTCCCTAGGGTGTTATAACTTCACTTGATATTCTGAGCTAAAATAGTGACAACAAGAAAAAGCAACTTCTGATATATTTTAAAGAAGGTAATTCAAATATAGTTATAGAATTTTGAAGCAAGAGGGCACTTTGGAGATTATCTAGTCCCTTTCATTTGTGTTATAAGTGATTGGGTTAAGTGACTTATCCACAGTCACACAGCTCATTCATTTTAGAACTTGGGTACTGGGAAGAGATAAGGAGCTTTTCTACTCTGGGTCATACAAATGTTCCAGACGAAACAGACAATGGACTTAAAAAACATCTAATTCCTTTTCTTGAAGTCAACAAGAAAAGAAATTCATGTATTCCAATGTAACAAACCTCTACAGATGAAAGGAACCATATTTTCATATCTAAGCAAGTGAGAGGATTTTCTCTCCATCCCCAGCAAAATGCTCTCCAACCATTCATACATACAAGGCAATTTTAAGTCATCTTTATTAAGAAGGGAATTTCTAATCTATACTTAGATCTATAGACCAAGGTTCTCAAATTTTTAGAAAGATTAGTGGGTCAAGGTGTCTAACCAATGCCTAAGTGTCAGATTTAGCAATTATGAGTAGTCCACCATCAAATTTCATTAGCCCACCATAGACTAAAATATAACGTTTTCTAATTAAACTTGTGAGGATAGAGGAAGAAAATCTAAAACGACATACCAATAGAGGCTTCTGAAAAATTAAAAAGTGGGAAAGAAGAATTAGCCATTATCCCTGTTAAAGGTCTATGGTCCCTCTTGTGCTTGCCCCGAATGTGATTATGATGTCACTGACCTACTACAGAGGACATTTGCTTTTTAAGTTGCTTTTGGTGGAATGTGTGACTAGCACAGAAAGCCCGTCAAAGAAACAACCAGTGCACATTTGCAAGATGGCTGTCTGGGGCCAGGGTATGGTCTATGGCCGTGAAATGGAGCAAAGCCAATTAGGCCGTATGTGGATCACGCCTGTGACCTTGACCTCATTAGCACCGTGCTCTGCCCAGCTCGACTAAATGGCCCCAGATGGTTAAGCTTAATGTAGCATTTTGTGTACAAGAACCCTACAGAACATTCAGGGCAATCCACGTTTTTGAACCAAGCACTTTTTACGTCTGGCTCCTAAATGAATGACACACAAAAAGGAGCTTAATATTTTTCTTCTTTCTTACAGTTAAAGAAGAATAGTGAAATTTATTCGAGACTCCTTGAAACACAATACCTCTTTTGGGTTGCTCCCTCTTCAATTATGAGAGTAGTTGTAAAGTGCCATATCCTGACCTTGCTTGCTTTGGCAAGTTTAACAAGCCATTGTGGTAGAAACAAGGTATTGCCCAGAGGCCACGAGAATTCCTTTGGTATTTGCTCCCTATTCCACAGGGTCCTTCCTCTGACACACATGTTGACAGCCTGAGAACTTGCAGAAATTTTTCTACAGTTTTATGCATTAAAAAAACCCATACCTCTGGTGGCCCTTTGTTTGGAAACTGGTAGCACCTTCCTTCTTCTTTGTCTTGAGACATTATTTTTAGAGTGGTCATTTTCAAAGAGACTCAGTCAATCAGAGATATTTCATGATCAGTGACAATCAGCTGTGATAAGCTACTTGGAGAGTAAGGTGACTGTAAGTTATTCAAGTGTGTTAAGTATAAAAGAGTATAAGTATATTCAGGAATGTTATAGTCTAATAGGAAATGCATGGGTGAAAACACACACATTGTCTGTCTATCTATCTACCCAGTAACAGTTATAAAGCAGGATATGTTATAAGCCTTTGAATGTATAAATCATCAAATAGGTCCGTGTAAGTTAAGTCCTAAGCATATTTTATAGTGATAATTTCCAAAGTGAAAAAAATTAACCTACTTTGAGAACTAGAGGACATTGGATTTGATGTGCTTAAAGTGCCTAATTGAGAAGAGACTTTCTGAGCTTTTACTTCTGCTACTGCTCCCCCTGTGATTGCCGAGTTTCCCACTTTATTTTCCTTCACAGGAGGATGTTTCCTGCCATGAGAGTGAAAATCACAGGTCTGGATCCCCACCAGCAGTACTACATAGCAATGGATATTGTGCCTGTGGACAATAAAAGATACAGGTAATGAATGACTCTGGGATGTGGAATTGTGGGTATCACGAACATTCCAGAACTATTCTTTAAACTCACTCAATGGAGAATTTTAACGGTGCACTGTATAATGCACTGTGCAGGGAATAAGAATGGAGGATATACCAATGGCTTGTGGCATAGTACCAGGCAGGAAAAGTCACTAGAGGCAGAAAATCAGGACTCAGTGATGGGTGGGTCTGGGATCCCCACTACATGGAGAGAGTGGGATTATATAGTATCTGCCAGGGTAGCAAAAATCAATTGGATGGTAAAGCTAAAATTAATTCAGTTAGCATCAAAAGTGATTAACATGTTGAATGATTTGGTGAAATGCTAAGTGAATTAAAATGATTTATTTTGAGAGGGGAAGGAGGAGTGAACCGGTGAAGTACATTCAATCATATATCTGATGGATTACCCTGTGGAGGATGGAGGAGAGGAATAGGAGAATTGGGTCAAGAAGAACCTCTAGTTAGGGAGATTTATTATTCATTAGTATGTGTTGTGAGCAAGTTCGTTAAATAATTTCCCTTCAAAATCATGAAAAGCCAACATAATCTCTATGTCTCTTGGATGGCTTACATGTAGTTCTTGTTTGAAATAAGTTGTGCCTTAACTGATCTCTTGAGATCTCAATACGATCAATGAATCATGGCTTATTTTTTTAAATGTCTGAGAATTTGGCCCTAAACCCACGAATGTGGAGGAGAGAGGCAAATGGCGAAGACCAGGACTAGTGTGGCAGGGTGAGAGAGCTGCCAAGATAGAAGTGGCCGTGATGGCAAGCCTGAAGAGTGGAGAGGCCTTTAATCTGTTTTAGATCTTGGGAGTTGAGATTTGGATTGAGTTCCTCGGTCCGCCAGGGCCCAGGGCCGACGTGACCCTTTACTGAGAAGCAGGATGGGTCAGATCCATGGAGAGCACTCTCCAGAACTATAGGAGAATAGGCAAAGTCCGGAAAACTGAGCTTCTTTGCTACCAACAACATCTCATTTCCAGTGGTTTTGTGGGGGAAATAAGGTGGGAGGTGACGATGTTCAAAATGAGGTTCATCAAAGAAGACACTAACTGGGAAAACTTGGTAGTGTTTCCAGGGATGGTTGCACTAAGGCAAAGGCCCTCCATGTTCATAGAAATGCCTCAAAATTGAGATCCTAAGCCAGGAAATGGTTAACAAGTGAGCTGCTTGGAGGGTCTCTGCACATGGCTGTGTTTTATAGGACAATATGGAAGATGTTTTTAATAAGGAACCAAATCCTGAACAAGTGGCCAAAGGATTATATGGTTTGCATTTGAAAGGTGAAAGGTTGCAGTAAAATACCGTTTCCATAGCTGGCCACGTGGGTTCAGACTGCCTGTATGCACACAGGGGTGCAAGGCAAGGAGAGGGAGAAGGAGGAAAAAGGACTGTGAGAATGTTTTCCTTGTGAGAGCTGCAGCTTTGATCATTAACTGCAGCAGGTCTCTGCTCTCCCCGACCCGGTCTCGTGCTCCATTTCCATCTCTCTCTCATTTTCCTGATGCTCTGCCCTTCTCTTTTTCTCCTTTGTATGCTGTTTAATCTCCATTACTTCTCCATTCCTATCATCTCGCTGTCCCTTCTCTCCTGCCCCTGCTTGTTTCCTGGGCCTCTATTCCCTCCCTGCATATATATCTGAATTCTGCTCTCTCCCTCAGATACGTGTATCACAGCTCCAAGTGGATGGTGGCTGGCAATGCCGATTCCCCCGTGCCTCCGAGAGTTTATATACACCCGGATTCTCTCGCTTCTGGAGACACTTGGATGAGACAGGTGGTCAGTTTCGACAAACTCAAGCTGACCAACAATGAACTGGATGATCAAGGACATGTGAGTCAAAGAATCCCATCTCCGTCTTCCCCCATCTTCCCCTTTTTGCTTTCAAGTTGACTAGCCCCAGGCTTTTGCAAACAGGTAAAATAAGTCACCTTTAAAAAGTAAGCATAAACTTTTTTCTTTTTGCTTCCTGTGAAATGTAATTTATTACAAATCTAACATTTAGCCAACGCCTGCTATGCATCAGGTTGTGTTTATCAGACAGAAGTCTTGTGCTCCAGGCACTCACGGTCTAGTCAGGGGAGAATTCAGAGGCAGAAGCACAGGGCAAATTAAAAAATGGTGAAAGAAAGCACAACATTCAGTAGAACAATTCGCAGGGAAACAGCTGATGAGACAGTCCTAGCTGAGTGTCAAGAGAGGAATTTATAAATTCTGGCTGAATTTATAACAGAAGAATAGGCCCTAAGGCTTTCCAGGTATAATTGGAGCACCTGATGCTACTAATTTACCCTTTGCAGTAAAACAGCCACTGAATTTTCACCGAATGACAGGGTCCATACTGGGTGCTATGGGAAGACTGAGGGAGCTAAAACCACGGCTCCTATCTTGAAGAAAAGGACATTTTCCTGACGAAGGAAGAACACACAGTACTCCCTCTCACATGACATAAGAGACTGTCTATAAATTCACTAACAAAGTGCAAATAATAGCCTGTAGAATTCAAGGGCAGCAAGCAGGAGGGGACCACTGTCATGTGGCCAAGGGTCTGGGACCTTTTGGTGAAGTGACGTCTGCTGGTAGCAGAACAGCCATTCAGCATTTACCCAGTTAGAGTAAACACCACATCCACATCCCACGATCAGGATACTCTGCTGTATGGTTCCATGTAATGCTCCCCAGTCACTTAGTCCTCCCTGCCATGGGCAGGTTCTCGGTTTCCTACACGTTTCACCCTCAATCGGTGCTCTTTCTATAATGCATCCATTCTGTATTTCATTCGCACGAGAGCTTGAAAAGATGAAGGGACCTCAGAGCCCACCCTAGCGTAATGTTTCCCTTTCTCATTTCAGATCATTCTGCACTCCATGCACAAATACCAGCCTCGAGTTCATGTGATTCGCAAGGATTTCAGCAGCGACCTTTCACCCACCAAACCTGTCCCTGTTGGGGATGGAGTGAAAACGTTCAACTTTCCCGAGACCGTGTTCACCACAGTCACGGCCTATCAGAACCAGCAGGTAAGAGGCTCCCTTGGCGAGTCTTCTGCTGTTTCTGTTCTCAAAGGAGCTTATGCAGGCGTTTGGTAAGAAATGCTTAGTCCTTGTACATGGCACTGAGGAGCAGGGAGTGAGAGACAGCAGGCTTGCTGGGCTCCCAGGGCACTGGTGATGACAAGGCAGTAATGCCTAGTGGCAGCTGGCATGGTCTAGATTTAGATCAGAGACAAGATCTTTGCCCAAGAGGAGCAAACCTCCTAAGTCATCTTCATGTCTCTCTGTACTTGGACCCATGTTCATAATCTCTGCCACATCCTGGCAAGTGTTCTTCATCATATGCAAGTACTGAGGTTTGATTCATTCCTTCCCTTTTCATGTATTCCTGCACCTGGCTGCATTAAACTCATCAGGCCTCCAAAACTCGATTTAAGACCCACAGCTTCACTTATATTCTCAGACTAAATTTACTTATGTGTGATCACCAGTTACACCCTAAGATCCGTATGTTTTAATGTCAGTAATATGTTCCACTCATCCCGTAAATATTGAGTGAGAACTTACAATATTCCAAGCTTACTAGAGAAATGGAGCAGGTTAAGACTCACTTCTCCCTTAACAGAGTTTTAGTTGAATGAAAGACATGTAAATACATAATGATAATACAGGGGAATAATTTAACAACAGATGTAGACAGGGTGTTGTTTGTTTCTTTGGGAGAGTGAGGGGAATTTTCCTGGAAGAGCTGATGCTTTTCCTGATGTCAAGGTATATCAATGAATTAGCCAGATTAATGGAAGAAGCAGCCTGTGGGTGGGGGAGAGGGAGAGAGACCAAGTTGGGAATTATTGGCATTCTGAGCAATGATTATTTTTATTTTTAGATATTCAAGTGATCTAATTCTGTGCAATTCCCTAAAAGCTGCATGTGAATATCACTTTTGTAAATGAGATTGTATTTCATCTTTTGGCAAATTGTCTAATTAATAGGATCCTGCAGTGAATCCTTTTCTTTGAAACAAAATGTTTCAGCTTGTTTTGCTTGAAAGTCTGCATACTTTTATTTCGGACCTGCTTGGAGCAAGATGACATTGTACTATAATACTTACTGCCTTTTTTAGATGTATTTGATACTATGCTTAGTGCTCAGACAAAGAAAGCAATAGAGGAAAAGCATGTATTCACTAAAAACCTATCAAGTACTTACTATATGAATGTGAGTTATATAATGAGTTCATATAAGAAGAGTGTTTCTATCTTTCATGACACATCTGGATGGGGGTCCTTAGGTGATCCTGCCTTCAGAGGAATTTGAAATACAAAAACCCCTTAGTCCGGTAAATATTAAGTTTTCTCAGCAGCTATGAAGCATTCCCAATTTCAGATTTCCCTTGTGAATGCCATGTTTAACTTGAAGTATAGGAAGAGCTTTAATTTGCTTTGGGCACTATTTAAAAACTATTAAATCCTCTTGAACATCTTAGATGGCAAAATTGCAGTGGTCATGGAGTGTCCTTACAGAAAACCCTAATCATCAAGATTTTTCAAGCTCCGATAGAAGATAGAGCAGCAACATAGACATAGCCTTTGGAGCAACTGGAACCTTGGGGTTAACTGTGGTTGGGAAGAGGGGAAGTGTAAGTCTCAGTTCTTTGAATAAGGATTGGACTTTTCTCCAAGACTACCCCAGCCCCCATTTTAATCATTAATTTCCCCAAAGGCAGAGATGTGGCAGTAAATGCTACAAGTTTAGAATTTAGTTTGTAGAGCAAACTAGAACGGTAATGAATGAAGTAATTGAGATCAGTTCTAGAGGCCAAGAGCGTCACTATGGTAACACAGGCTGAAGCCAGAAAGCTACAGCTCACTGTGACAAGGAAGGAAAACCAAACATGTGTACCTGAAAGCCCTTTCTCGTCCCCAACCTTCTCTCATAGGCATTTTCCTGCATCTGAGTACATTCTAGTTGTATAAATATTCTCTCTATACCTGGACTGGGGCAGAGGCCGTGGTGGGCTTGGTGGGGCGGGGGAAACCATGATTAAGATCATGGTGTTAGGCAGCAGACATACCTTGTTCAATTTCTAACTTTTCTACTGATGAATGTATGACCTTGAATAACTTTCTTATCTCCTTTCAACCTGTGTTTCCTGGTCTGAAATGTTTTAGTCACATGAGTCCTAGACAAGGGAATGTGCATAAAGTCACCAACACGAGCCTGGCGTCTAATTAATGGCAGTCGGCTGGCATTGCTGAATGACTGGGTCGACACAGACCTGAAGGACAGTGGGGAGTAGAGGCCACTTTAAAGAATAAATTGCTCATTAAGGAGAAAGGGGATTGTTGGGAATTGGAGGAGCCGCCTTGGCTCTTGAAGATATTATAATCAATAGGTAACTACTTTGATCTTTCTGTTCTCATGTCATGTTGGTGAATTCGTGATATGCTGACATTCAAAGTAGATGAGTCATACTCAGTTCTGCCCATTTTGAAGTCAAGATAACAGCTTGTTTAACAAGACTCCCATCCCAGGATAAATCAACAAGCCTGATTGTTTAACATTCCCCTTGGCTGCATAGATATGATTTAATGTAATGCAGTGACTTGTAGTAAAGCAAACTAACCTAAGCTCGTTCCCCCAGGAATCTTGAGGTCTGCATCCTGTAAGTCAGGGCTGTGAGCTAAACAATCATTTTCAGACTTGTCTTGAAGAGGCCAGGTAGCATAAATTGTTCTCTTTTGTGAGCTATACTCACCTATTACTGTGTTTTTATTGCCCCCAAACTTCCAGAATGAGAACAATTACTATTTTATGGCAAAACTGCTTACTTATATTTTTTACTTCTTATATTTTTAAGGGGGTGGTTAGGAGGTCTATGAGAGTAAAGAGCAAAATATCAGTGGTAGGTTCATTGTTTGAAGGAACACAGCGAAGAAAGGACAACAGAGGGAGGCATGAAATGCTACCCAGCTTCCTAAGGAGAGGCAGTGTCTTGTCCACAATCAGCTGTGTGCTAGGTGTTTGTAGACCTGGGCTTTAGTCCTAAATTTTCCACTAGTTACCTAAGCCACTCTAATCAAGTTATTTTTTCTTTCTGGGCTTCAATTTGTTCTTCAAGAAAATGAGCAGTTGGCCTATGCTTTTTAAGGTCTCCGTTAGCGCTGAATTTGTAATTTCTCCCTCCTTTTTCCCCGCATGCTTTATAATGAGGGTTGGGAGCAATTTATTGTTATCCAACAGAGGCAGTTGACACATGATTTTCAAGTATTAAAAATTATGAGTGTTCATGTCTGTAAACTTGTTTAAACCTCTCCAGTAGCCTAGACCAGTGCAGTTCTAGTAAGTCCACACTGGAGAGGTGGGGACATGGCGTTTTGTTGCTGGTAAACAAAACGCTCCACACTTCACTATTCATTTGTGATTGCTTTCTGGTCCTCCCCATTGTCGAAGCCGGTGCTTCCTGTTGGCTTCCATCTTGTTACCCAGGCTGCACACCTGACTCCCCCTCATCCAATCTGCCACTAAACTCTGCTGCTTGTACTGATGGAATATTTTCTCCTTTCCACTCTCATTGCTTCTGCTCTTGCTCTGGATCTGACCCACCCCCACCCATGCCGTGGGCTACCCCTCGTGCCCTGCCCCATCTTGGGCTGTTGCAATAGCTTCCAGCAGAGTCACCTGGGCTGCAAGCTTATTGTCTTACCAGCCATCACTTATATTCATTGCTGGTTGCATCTTCCAAAAGCACAGCTCTGACCATCATTACTGTGTCAACAATTGTCCGTGACTCCTTCGTGCCTCAGGAGCCAAGCCCAGGATCCCCAGTCTTTCTCTTAAGATCCTCTGTGGCTAATTACCAACTATATTTCTAGGCTTATTTCTCATTAATTCTCATTAGGCATTCCCAAAAGTTCAGCAGTCTAGTTTGAATTTTACTGCTTGTGCTTCGTAGTTGCCTCAATTTTGCACGTGCTGTTGTCTCTGCAGGAACGCCCGTCCCCTTCATCTGTCTGTTTAGATTCCATTTGTTCTTCAAGTTTGATGCACAAACTATGCCCTACCACCTTCCTTACATTTTCAGCTGCAAATGAGCATTCCCTCGTGGAATGGTTAGTGAGTGTGCCTGTCTCATGACCCTCTCTCTTGCTGACCTGGGTGTGTCCAGACTTCCTCTCAATGTTTTAAGCTTTTTGAAAACAAAGGTTGCAAATTCTACAAAAAACAGTGCAACATGATAGAAAACATCAGGTTAGAGGTACCACCTTTGACAAATCACCCCACCTCAGGATTCTCACTTGCGAATTGGGGGTTTGGTCTGAATCAGTGCTTCTTGACACTAGTCAATAAAGAAGATTTTTATGGTCCACTGAAAAGATGAGAAAAATAAAGACAGTATAGATAAGGACTTTTTATATATGCAAACATTCACTTTAATAGATTCTACATTTTTAAATTTTGTCCTTTTTACTTTTTTGATGCCAAAATGTCATTTTATAGACTAATGATGACAGGAGATAGTAGGCTTCAACTCTCTTCACTTGGTAGAATAAAAAATTGGAATATCAATGTTGACCTTTCAAATATTGGAAGGGGGGAATTCGAATTGACCTACGAAAATTTTTTAAAAGATTTATTTATTTATTTATTGGGAAGGGAGGGGAGAAAGAGAGGGAGAGAAACATCAGTCTCTTGCCTCTTGCACGCCATCAAGCGGGAACCTGGCCCAAAACCCAGGCATGTTCCCTGACTGGGAATTGAACCGGCAACCCTTTGGTTCTCAGGCTGGCACTCAGTCCACTGAGCCACACCAGCCAGGGCTGGCCTATGAAATTTTGAAGCTCAGAAACCACTAATCAAGATGAAGGACACTTTCATCTCCATAATTCTAAGACATTTGTGTCTGTCCCATAGTGCAGAGCTCTGGATATATCCTTGGAAAATGACTGAATGAATGATTAGTCGACACACTTCTACTACCAGTTTCTTTATATATCTGTGGTTCTGGTTTTTTTTTGATATAAATAGTAGTGAAGTGTGAAGAAAGACTTTCTATTTCACTAAATATCTTATGCTTTCTTTTCCTCCTTTCCCATTTCTTCCTCCCACCCTTGCTGACTGACCCATAGACTCCTGGGGCTGCTAGCATACTGAAGTTATTATTACTGTTATTTGCTCTCAGAGTGCCAACTTGGCCGGCCTGTGGCAGAGAGGAAGGTACACCATGCCCAGAATCTCATCGTGGAGAATAAGGTGGTAAAAGTTGGAATAAAGGTGACTCCACACTTTATGCTTTTTCTTGGAAGAGGCTGATGCCAACATGTCCTCATGGAATTAGCAGGAAATTTCCATTACAGAATCTTTGTCTTCTCTAAGGGAAAAAGCCTGCTGAACCTTGAGGGTTGTGTTTTTTTTTTTCTTTTTTCCCCCCAAACAGGAAACTAGATTTCAAAAAGATACAGCCCCATTCTCCTCAGGTAACACAGTCTTATTTCTTGATGAGAATTGGCTACATGAGCCAGCTAGAAAGTCGGCAACCACAGCCAGGTTTGTGTAAGCAAATCTAATAGGATTTCTGAGTTGCTCATTATATTTTAAACTAGTAAGCCAGCTTTACCCTAACTTTCCAATCAAATCAGTGTAAAAAAAATTTTTTTTTACACATGCTACGGTTTTGTTTCTTAAATTCCAGTGGAACACCCTTCAAACAATATGGTAAAAAAAATAAGAATAACTAAAGAGTGTTAATAAGGGCAGGCCCTTTCCTCCTTGATCCTGTAAAATCATACTCAAGATTTCATTTTCTTTGTAGGTTGTGCTATTTTTGTCGGCATTGTGCATTCTGGGGTATATATTATCTCATTTATTAACTGCCTCTGTGTCAGTAGGCAAAAAAAGTCAGTGAAAATGACTAAAATTAATGGTGGCAGGCCAGCAACCACCCCCTCACGGACTACAGTCTTCAATAACTCAGACGATACAAATCAGTATACGGTTATGGAAATAAAATCAGTGAAGAAAAATGCTTTCATAACCTCTGCATTTTCCATGTCTCCTCATTATCATTGGACTGAGTTTGAACAAGACTCCTGTAGAATAGCTTTGGCTGCACAGGAAGCTACTAATAGACCTTGTTCTCACTGAAAGGACATTTAAGACTCTTGTCTGTATTGCCTGCAGTGAAAGCAAGTAGGATTGTGGGAATTGTTTGGTCTATAGTCTCTAAGGCTTATTGCGGCTTTGGGACTGGAGATCCCTGCTTCCCACATCATCCTTCACTTATCCAGTCATTCATTCACTGAACAAATATTTATTAAGCATGAATAGCACGTGTATTCTGCTTAATAAAATGGCCTATAAAACAGACAGCGTTCCTACATGTAGACCAGGGGGAGAGACAAATAGTAAATATGTGAACAAATGAAATAAATGTATAATTGCCAACTGGGTTAAGAGCCAAGATGGAATTCAAGAGGATGCAGTTCAAGAGAGTAGTGGAAGTATACTGTTTTGGAGGGGTGATCAAGGAAGGCCTCTCTCAAGAGATAACATTTAGAGTGAGACTTAGGAGGAGGAGAAGGCATCAGCTATGTGCAGGGAACAGAAAAGAGTGTTTTTGTCTGGAAGGAGAGTGAGCGTGAGGGGTCTCAGCAGGGAGAGAGCTTGGCACATGCCAGCACTGAGAGCAGCCCACGTGGGCTGGAGCCCATGAAGCAGGGGCAGAGGAGTGTGGGTGGGGACGGAGAGGTAGGCAGGAGCCAGGGCAGGCTGGTGCTGCCAGGCCAGGCACAGAGCTTGGCCTGCATTCTGAGCACAGTGGTAGCCACGGAAAAGAATGACATGATCCAATGACATGTTAACTAAGACCACTTTGGTTGGTGTAGAGGAGATTGGACAGGGACAAGAGTGGGAGAAGGGAGATCGGTGTGAAGGTTATTTGGAGTAGTTTAGTCAGTGGATGACAGTGCCCAGTCTAAGGTGGGGAGACAGAGACAGACAGGCATATTAGGGTCTAATTGATAAACGTAATTATGGAGTAGGGTTGAAAATTAACTACTCAAATGTAGTTCGTGTGCTACCTCCAAGGTGAGCTCAGAGCCTTTCCACTTGGACTATTCCCTACCTTCTCTAAGCTCTCATGGCACTCTGCCTTTATGGCAAACCTCATCACTTTCTGTTTTACATTGTAATTATTAGCATCTGTGTGTGCTTTTCTCTTCTAGATTATAAGATTCTTGGGTTGGGCAGAAAGATAATACTCAGCCACTCACTGACTGCCCACCAGTCTGCCACCTGTGCCACCTATCACATTGCTTTGCACACAAGAGGCACTTGATAATAAATCCATAGTGAGTAGTTGAACAGTACTCTCAATAAAGTTCTCTGAATCTCACATAAAAGCTTTGAAACAAGTATAAAGGTGTTGTTTTTCCTAACATTTGGTGGCATTTGACTATTAAATCTCCATACAGGACCCTGGGCCTGAGATCCAGTGAATTGTGGGAAATGGGTTTCAGCCATTTCTCCTGGGCCTATGAAACAGAATGTTATATTTACAGGGTCTTGGGAGGCCCCCAGAACACGGCAGCACAATCATATATCAGAAACCCCTATCATAAATGAGTCAGACAGGATAAGCCAACTTGAAAGAGAAAATAAAATATTATAACCCCAACTTGAAAAGAAAATGTGGTGTGTGGTTTATTGCTGTGGATTATGAAGAAAGAAAGAACTGATTTTAAGTCAAAAACAGAACACAGTGACAGTCTTTAAACTCAGTTCAGTATTCACGTGGCAGACAGTGGACTTTGGAAAGCCGAAGCTTCAGGCTCCTGCTCTGATCTATAAAATAAATGTAAAATTGCTTTTGCTGCATTATTGGGGCTACATTGTTAGTATGCCATTCTAGAGGCAAGGGATGTTGAGGGGAAAAATAACTTCGGTACTTTCAAGTTTGTTCATCAGACTCTCACACTGCGTTTTAAAGACCCTTAAAGACTGTGGCTTTGGGAAATTCCACTCTGATGGGAGATTTGCAACTTTGGAAAGAACTCGAACCATCCTAGTGATAAGTTCTGCAATTGTCAAAAAAAAAAAAAGATGATCTCAAATAAGGAGATTCTCTTATTTCTAGAATCACCTTCTGCTGAGAGTGCCTTCCCTCCTTTACTGAGTTCCCAAGCCCCCATCCCTATCGCTTGAATGTCTCTATTGCTTGAATATAGTAAGTCATCAATATCAGGTTTAGGTGTGAAGTTGCCGAAATGTGTCTCATGACCAAGGCTGAAAGTGGAAGCACTAGGGTGCATATGGAACTGGTTGGTCAGGCTTGTTCTAGTCTAGAGGCACGAGGATAATGTGTACAGCCCCTGCGGAGACTGAGGGAACTAGGACGGGATGCAACAGGTACCTATGCACTGAGTGGAAGTTGACCAGACGCTCCCAAGGACTTGCTCAAGCTGGCCCGCACGGCTGTTTGCACTGGCTTGCTCAGCCTTATGAAGCTCCATTTCTTCTGGTTCTTTTGTGAGCCTTGGAGACTAGAGGAGACATGCTGCATTCTGTCCCATCTAGTCACATGTTTTTAGACAAAAGAGTAGCTACTTCTTGTGTCTTTTATGAGACCATTTCAGGTCATTAAAGGAATAATCCCTAGTGACTGGAATGGCACAATTGAAGTATAATGATTAATGCAGTCAGTTATTTGGAACCTTCAGGTGAGCAGATTGTCTTGGTGATTCCATCTGATTGGATTGGCTGAATCCATTCATTCATTCTTCACTCACTTATTTGTTCATTCATTCAATAAACACTTTTCAGGGACCTCCTGTGTGTCATGTACTATGGACCCAGTTCTCCATTGCAATACTTTTGTTTATCACCATTTTGGGGCAAGAAAGGTGAGTAGAAAGGAGTTTAGAGTCATACTGGGAAAACCTTGTGTTTTAGGGAGATGTGGGTCAGGTGGGTCAGACATCTGTGTGCCAGGCCCTAGTACTATATCAACTTCAATTTAAATCTCCAATTAAAAGGAAACTAAATAAAAACACTAGCTGTTATTACTAGAGTGATTTTTGTTAAATTTTTTAGGAGCAACCAAAAAGGAAGTCCGTTAATGAAAATACAATTCATGCTTTTTTAATTGGTTTCCAGATCACCAGATTAAAAATTGACCGGAACCCTTTCGCTAAAGGATTCAGAGATTCTGGAAGAAACAGGTAAGAACAATTGGGAAAGAGACTCTGGGGCATTTCTTTTCTATGTGACTATTATTCTCACCACACCCCATTGGTGGCTTTGGCTCCTGCTTTTTGGAAAGCGCCTGCATGTTAAGCCACCGTGCAAAGAGAAATAGATAGCTGATCTGAGAGTGAAAAAGCTGCTTCCCAAAGGCTGAATTATCCAGATTCTTTAACACACTAAATTAAGCTAGCAGATCAAATCCTTCATGGTGGTTTCCCCTCTATATCATAGTTGGTCATTCAGTTGCTTAAAACAAATTTGATGTGATTTATCATCATCAAAAGTTTGCTCCTTTTTCTGAAAAGCATCTGTATGTGGCTTCAGAATCTACAGTGATATCTCATTGTCAAGAAATAAGTAATTGTGGACAAATCAAAATTTTCACAAAATTATTAACTTTCAGAGCTAAACTTTTGTTAAAAAATTAACCATTTTCCTGGGAAATATTTCCAAACTATATCAGATCTTTTCTGCTTTATTAAGGAGAGTTTATAGCACACCACCTTTCTGGGTGGCCTAACATCATTATGATTGGGTTGTTATATAGCGAAACTCTTAGGAATTGTTGATGTTTATAGACCTTTCTCCTGTTGTAAATGGTCTTAGAGACTATAGTGTTTTTCTAGTTAATTCTTCTTCCTTCTGTCTAAACCCTCCTATCTAAAATTATGCATAAAATCTGTTATCTGCAGAGAGTGAGGAGAGAACTGAAATTGCCAGGGAAACCAGATTGATCTAAGGTTGTTCAATCAGAAAATTTAATTTCATATAAACCACACTGAAAGAGCAAATGTGACACACGTGTCTTATAAAGGTGTAGGCTTTGCGATAACTGTTTGCTTTGTGTTAAGACATTTTCCAAATTGGGGGCATTTCTTTACATCGGAATGACACAGGTTGTCAGGTGTTATTTTTGCTATTTTCTCTGCAAGAGTTTTCAGATAAACTAGTTTTATATTTAGAATCACTTCATAATCCATGCGGCCCCTTATATTTGAATCCAGATTTATGCCAAAAATTGGTTGTAGTGATCATTTCCTTTACAAAAGGATTTATGCAAGTAATTCTTTATGAAACCCGTATTGTAGATTTCAAATACATTTAGATTTCTATAAAGTTTCATTTACCTCAGAATTTTTTAGGGTCACACCCATTGAATAAAGTAAAATCCACATTAACTTCCAGTTTGCAGATGACAAAACTGAATAATACGTTTTGGGTCAAGCAATTGGTTGATGATAGAGCTCAGTGAGAAATCAGACATATGGATTCCAGGTCAAATATTTTCCTGTTCAACGATTCTGTTTAAAACAAGACAAAAAAAGCCTTTGCTTTCAAAATTTAGCCAATGAAGAATGGATACCTGTTCCTTTCATTTCAGAGGGGCAGTCCTCTTCCTTCCAACCGGGTTTCCACCCGTGAGCTGTTTCCTGCAGCATCCTTTTCGGGACTGGCATTCCAGGGCTTACTGAGGACCTTGTAAATGATAAGAGCCACAATACAAGCCGTCCTTTCCTAAAGAAGCCGCTAGGGTATTTAAGATCTTTAACTTGGAGTCTAGGTATAGATCTCAGAGGTTGTGTGAGTTTCCAGGTATTGTCAGTCAATTGTGTGTGGATGAGCGGGTGTGCATTTTTCTAGGGACAGGTCTGTAGCTTCCTTCAGATTCTCAACAAGCTCTATGACCAGAAAATAAGAATGTCTGCTGTAGACATAACTGTGTTTGTCCAGAGGCCAACCAACCCCACTGTCTTTAGTTATTTAGGTGCTTTCTTTTTCTTTCCTTCTGCCTCTCCAGTGGCGTTTAGTGTGTTTATTTTCCTCTTGGCATGCCAAAGCTTCTTTTTTTCTGTGCTTTACTCTTCCATTGAAGTCCCTGTTTGTCAGAGGCATGGTCTGGGACAGAAAATTAGAATATATCAGCTGCATGAACCAGCGTTAGAGCTATGCTGTGGGAATTGGAGCCCCATTTTAATGGACTTGAGAATAAGGCCATGTATCTTGAAGCATTTGCCTCTGGTTAGGAAGTTGTGATGACATCTCAGTTCCAGTCCTGAGGTCCTCCTGTCTCCTGGGGACAAAAGGGACCTTCACACATCATGCAGCCCTGGCCTGTTTTTGCCCTTAGGACTGGTGAACAGCTTACCTTCCGGGAATTGTCCGTCTTACCTGGTGAACAGCTTTTTGTAAGGACTCCAGGAAAGCGGAACTATGGAACCTCATTAGCTCATTCCAGTGCTTTATCTGGTTATTTTTCTGATCACATCGAAATTCCTCACTAAGTCCCATTAAAACCTGCAGGCTATTTTAAGTAATATTAGTAATTATAGAAGTTATCTGAGATAGAAGACTTACTGTGTCCCAGACCTTTTGCTTTTGTTCCTTCTAGTCTTCAAAACAGCCTGTCTTTTACAAATAGGGAAACTGAGACTCAGAGAGCTGAAGCAGCTTCCCTAATGTCACGCAATGGAGCTGGAGCAGGGACTAAAGCCCAAGTCTGCGTGAATTCAAAGCCTATGCACTTTCTGCTCTATCATGCCAACAGCTTAAACTGGGCTTATTTTATGTTCAACAGATATGGAGAATAGAACACTTTCTCTAAAAATCCTTCATCTGTTTAAAGATACTACTCAAGTACCCAGAACTTCCTATTTTCCAAATAAAATGACCTGTATATTATCTGCTTGTCTGTACGATTCCCCAGGACTTTGTCTTCTGCTTGCTCCACCCCTGTGAACAAGGGGTTCCCAAGTAGAGGACAGGAAGTCAGGCCAAACTTTCCTCACAAGTGAAACTGTGAAACAATGACATTGAAGTCACCTGTCTCACTGTGGAGGAAGAATGAATCATTAAATATAGAGGCCAGTTTATCCGGCCTCTGGGAAGTCAGGCTAAAATAAACTTGTTGGTCCAAGTACAGTGGCCCTTATATTTTCTCCTTGCAAAGCTCAAAATTACCTGATTAGCACAATTTAATCCTCGCTGGCTGCTTGCAGGATCTTATGAGGGCAAGAATTATTAATGTTGTCTTGCAGATGGGAAGGATTGGGGATCTAGAGGATCATCTCTAAATCTCCTGGTGGTTCCTCGCCTTCCAACCAGTGCCTTGTCTATTGCCTTTCTCCTGCTAATAGAGCTCTTATAAATCTGTGATCTTCCACATGCCTTTTAGACATCAAATGACTCATACAGATGAGCATGGTTTGTTGAGTTGCATATAAATGTACCCCAAACATACGGCTTACATTTCCTTTTAAACACATGGGCTTAAAAATTAGGGGGGAAAGCACTGGGCTGGCGTTTTTTGGTTTTGCAGAACACAAAACATTTGTGGAATACTTAAGAGTTACAGAATTTGCCAAACCTCAAACCAAAACACGTTCAGGTTTGTTGATTTCAATTCACCCCAGTGCGATCCAGGAAGGGAGGCGCATGAGAGGAAAGATAGGGAGGACACAGCCACCCATGACGGTCTCTTTAGATGCCCCCTGTCAGTCTCTTGGCCATAAGCCTATCACTGTAGCACCAGCCATTTCATGTGGCTGGGTTGACGGCAGTATCCTCTGAGGGTGGCTGGGGTGAGGATGCTTAATTCCCATTCTTCCTATTTTAATGTAAAGCAATATCCTTGGAGAAGTATTCCTGGCTTCTACCCCTGTGGCTTCCTCCTTCCTCTCGATGGGAACCAGAGTGTCTGGCCTCGTTGCTGGGCCTGGGAGGAGGACTTCTTCAGGACCGTTTCGCCTGCAGAGAGCTGACCTTCTGGGCTCTTTCTGTTGGATGGTAAGCCCAGCAGAGGAGACCCACAGTTTGGGGGAGTCAGCTTATCCCAAGGGAGTTCTGGCCCCCCATTCAGCCCTCACACCTATTCCTTAGTCTCCAGACACTTTCATCAGTAGTCAAACTGATATTTTGGTCTCCATTGCATCAGCCTCCTAGGTCTTTTTTGGAATTTATTCTGGGTTCAAAAGGACAAGAGGTGATATTTTGGGGGCCTTCCAGAACCCCACTAGGAGCCCTAGTGAGTCCAGTGTCAGCCCCGTGGTGTCACCAGCATCAGAGCCTGTCGCAGTTCTCCCTACTTCTCTAGGAAGCGTCATTCACACACCTCGTTGTAAGAAGGTCACCGCCCTTCAAACTTGACTTATGGAACTTTGACTTTTTTCATTTCCATGTAACTATGTCCCTGATCAGAAGTCTCCACCAGAAGAGCATGCATGTGTGTTTGTGTATGTTCACATATGTGGATGCATGTGTGCTGGGAAGAGTGGTAGACTCCCGGGCCTTTTGGAGTGGAAATCCTGACTGATTTTGCTTCCAAACATTGTCTCTGCAGTGGGAGGGAAATTGTGTTTACTTCCAAATTGTTCCTCCTCCTAGATTTCTCAGAAATCATGTGGTCCAACCAATCAATGCTTGTCTCCGGCATTGATATTTCTCTCTTTCCCTTCCTCTCTCTCTAAAAGCAATGATAAAATGTCTTTGGTCAAGGATAAAAAAAAAATGATGTGGTCCAAAACTGGCTTTGGGTAGGAAGTAGGTCAGTACATGTTTACCTTTAATCAGGCACAATACCCAGAGTTCCCTGTGGGAGGTGCCTCCTGCCAGGAGGAGAGAGGAAGGCCTTCCCGTTCTGGGGGGAGAGTGGGTCCCTTCAATTTGAGATGGTTTTTTGTCCTGTGGTCTGTGTTCTGAGGCTCTGTGCTTGCTAGAACGTAAGCTCCTTGGAATGGGACTGTACCTTTTTCAGGTTTCTATTTTTAGATTCTTTTTCCTATAGTGCCAGGTGTACAGAGTAAAATAATACTTGTTCAGTTAGTTACAAAACAGTAACTAGAGTCCGGGAGTGGCAGAGAAACTAAAAGCCAGGAACTCTGGAGTGAGAAAGCCTTGCCCAAGCAAGGGTGAGTCAGGTACAGCAGCAGTGGGGAGCAAGTTTTAGACACCAAATAAGAAGGGAAAAAAAGAGTACATT